TGGTTGAGCATCAACCTATGAACCAGGAGGCCATGCTTCTATTCCCGGTCAGAGCCCATGCCCAGGTTGCTGGTTTGATCCCTGATAGGGGGCATGAAGGAGGCAGCCCACCAATGACTCTCATCATTGGTGTTTCTCTCTCTCTCTCCCTTCTCTGAAATCAATTATGTTGAGGTACCATTCCCTCTACACCCAGTTTGTGGAACGTTTTATCATGCATAGGTGTTTGATTTTGTCAAGTGCCTTTTCTGCATCTGTTGAGATACTATTTTTTATCTTTCATTTTATTAGTGTAGTGTGCCGCATTGATTGAATCACCCTTGAGTCCCTGGGATAAATCCCATTATATCATGACATATGATTCTTTGTCAAATTAGGTTTGTTGAGGAGTTTTGCATCTATTTAATCAGGAATATTGGCCTGTAGTTTCCTTTTCTTGTTATGTCCTTGTATGGCTTTGGTATCTAGGTAATGCTGTCCTTATAAAATGAGTTTGGATGTTTAACTTTCTTGTTTTTTTGGAAGGATTGGTATCAACTCTTTAAATGTTTGGTAGAATTCACCAGCCATCTATTTATTCCTGGACTTTTCTTTTTGGAAGGTTTTTGATAACTGATTAAATTTCCTTACTAGTAATTAGTCTGTTCCACTTCCTATTTCTTCATGATTCAGTCTTAGTAGGTTGTATGTCTCTAAGAATGTACTCATTTCTTCTGTGTTGTCCAGTTTGTTGGGATAAATTGTTCTTACTCTCTTAAGGTTCTTTATTTGTGTGGTATCAATTATAATTGTTTATAATTCTGACTTTCTAGTGGTTTGTAAGCTTTACTGATTTTTTTCTATTGTCCTTTTTGTCTCTTTCATTTATTTCTGCTTTGATCTTTGTTATTTCAGTCTTCCTTTGTTGTTGTTTCTAGTTCATTGGAGAGTAAAGTTGGGTTGTTTGAGATCTTTTTTCTTGGTTTAGGCATTTATCGCTTTAACCTTTCCTGTTAAAACTGCTTTTGCTATGTCCATACATTTTGGTATATTGTTTTTTCATTTTCATATTCCTCAAGATATATTTTCATTTCTTTTTGACCCATTGGTAGTTTAGTAGCATGATCTATTTGTTGTTGAAAATGAGATATTGAAGTCCCCTACTATTGTTGCATTGCTGTCTTATTTCTCCTTTGAGGGATTTTAATATTTGCTTTATATATTTAGGTGCTCCAATGTTAGGTACATAAATATTTATAAGTGTTAATTAACACCTTGTTGGGCTATATATCATTTATCATTATATAATGAGCTTTGTTTCTTATTACAGTTCTTAACTTAAAGCCTGTTTGGCTGATATAGCCATCCCTGCTTTCTTTTGTTTTCTATTTGTATGGAACGCCTTTTTCTATCCCTTCACTTTCAGTGTGGTTTCCTTAAAGCTGAAGGGAGTCTCTTAAAGAGATGAGTCTTGTTACTTTATCCATTCAGCCACTGTATGTCTTTTGATTGGAGAATTTAGTTCATTTACACTTATAACTATTCATAGGTATAGATTTCTATTGCTATTTTGCTCATTGTTTTCTAACTATTTTATAATTCCTTTGTTCCTTCTCTTGTTCTCTTCCTATGTGGTTTGAAGATTTCCTATAGTGGTATGCTTTAATTCCTTTCATTTTGCTTTTTGTCTATATAGGTTTTTGCTTTGTGGATTTCCATGAGGTTTACATAACATATTTATAAGTCTATTTTAAGCTGATAACAACCTAATTTCTAACACAGCATACCTTTACATTTTTATTTATCTCCCATCTCCCCTTTTATGTTTTAGATGTCATACTTTTCATCTTTTCCCCTTGTGTGTCCATTAATAAATTATTGTAGTGGTTTTTTATGTTTTTGTGCATTTTAATTTTTTAATATGTTCACTATGCTTTTTTAGTTCTTTCTCTAATAGTTATAGGGTTTGCCACATATATCTTATCAGCTTTAGATTTCTAGTATTTTAGTTCCAGGGGTATATAGAAATACTATTGTAGCTTTATTCTCTTTTTGTAATATTATTGTTATACATATTATCTGTGTTAATGTTAAAAACCCAACAATACCTTATTATAATTATTACTTTATCATCTGAAATAATTCCCTTAGCTTAAAAAAAGCTCTGCTACCATCTACTTCCTTTGTAGTGTTATTGGCAAATATATTATACATATATTACATGTTTGTATATTGCAGGCCCAACTCTCACTATATACGTATTACTTGGTGCAGCTACTATTTAAATCCATTAAAATAAGAAAGGAGAAAAAGTGTGTTTATACTGTCCTTTATAATTACACTAGAGGCCCGATGCACAAAAATTCATGCAAGACAGGGCCTTCCTTCCCCCAGCTGCCAGCACTGGCTTCCCTTCACCCCAGCTTCGTCAGGAAGGACATCCGGAAGGATGCCTGGTCTAATTACCATATTACCCTTTTATTATTATAGTTCATGACAGTTGCTCATTGTTTTTTCATGTGAGGTCATGTTTACCATCTGAGGTCACTTGCTTTCGGCTTGTAAAACTTTATTTCTTTTATGGTGGGTCTGCTAGACAAATTCTCTCATTTTATGATTATCTGAGAAAGTTTTCATTTCTTTTATGTGTTTTTAATTTATGAGCTTTAGATTTATAATTATTATTTTTGAAAGGTGGTTTTGTTGGATATAGGATTCTTGGTTGACAGGTTGTTTTTTTCTTTGAGTACTTTGAATTTTTTATACCACTGCTCTGGCCTCCATTTTCCTGCAGCATAACTTTATCAACAAGTTAATTCAGTCAAATTCCGGCTCCTTTGACAGAATAGTTTCTGAGGTCTGTATTTGATACTTGTTCTGACACCAGAATGGTTTTTTCCCAGGGTCTTATTTTTGCTTCCCTCCTGCAAGTAAGTCTATACACGAATCCTTGGGGAAACACTTTCCACAAAGGCAGCAGTGAGTTATCTTGGTTCTCCTTCCAAGTACCTTCCACCACATCTTCCAGATTCTTGAAAATGCCTTGGCCTGACATTCCCTGGGCGTGGTGACAGGAAGTCTGTTTGTTTGGGGAGGGGTTGGAGCTCTCTGTTTTACTGCCTGCTTTTCCTTACAGGCAACATCTTTGAGTCAGGGCTCTTGAACTGGTGTTGGGGACAACGGAAAACTGAGTGAAACCCAGATCTACACTGAGCTCTCAGCTGGAGGTAGCGATTAGGTAGTGCTCTTGGCTTACCTCTTCTGGCATGGAGCCACTGTCTCATAGGCTGACGTAAGGGCATTCAGGTGTTCTCAGTTTACTGCACAAGGGAGAGCCTCTTCCCACTATTGAGGGCTGCATAGAAGATGGGAGCCCACCTCGGTTGCTTCTCATGGAACTTCATTTCCTAATAGGTTGTTTGCAGCAGGATAAGAAGTGCTGATGTCCTGCACCTGGGAAGGAAGTCCTCCACCTGAGAGCTGGAGGAGGGGGCACCCTGTGTCTTGGCTGCAGCCCTCTGGAATGGAGGCTCCTCCGCTGACCTGTGAAGTTGTAAGGGAGGCGTGGTCTTGGTTCAAATACCAGACTCTTGATTCTCTTAGCCAGCGTTTGAGGAACTTGGAGAGATGTTTCTTCGTTTGTTCTTTGCTTACAGGACCATTTCCCAAGGCTTTCAATGGTGGTTGTTAAATATTTTCAACCAATTTCACTGGGGAGCAGGCCATTGGAACTTTTCGGCTGTCAATCTGTTGTTGGTGAAAAATGAGTTCGTTGGCAGTGCCAGGAGCACAGAAGGCCAGAGGCACACACATGGAGGAGTTAGAATGTGATGGCAGGATGTCATTGTGAGCTCAGGGGCATGGCTGGTTGTACACCCTCGGGCATCGAGCGGCTGGGCAGGCTACAGCCCCGCCCTGACAGTCCGCCGTCTGTCTTCCTGGTCAGGGGAAGGACAGCACCGTTCCTGACTCCCAGGCCTGCCCTGGGTTCCTTCCCAGCAAATGCTGTAGGGTTTCAGGTCCTCTCTCCAGTCTGACTCCTTCCCCTGTCCCCAGGCTGGGGCCTGCCCTCTGGCTCCTCACCCTGACTCCCACGCGGGGCCCAGAGCCTGGGTTACAGCCTCCAGTTCCCCTGAGCACCCGCCAGCAGAGGCGCTTCCTCCAGGCGCTCCGGTACGGACCGGGCCTTCCTGGGAGATGACCGATCCCTTCTGAGGACTCAGGATCCTCTCTGGCCGTTGCCTGTAGTGTGTGAACAGGGCTGCTCACCAGTCAGCTCGCTGGACTGCTGCAGCTTCCCAGTTTATTAGATTATTTCGTCCCCTTTGCTCCGTGGTGTGAGTAACCAGCTATCTTCCTTCCATTAGTAACTACCTGTGTATGCTGACATCTCCCCATCCAGAAAATGTGAGCCTTTATAATCTTTCTTTTCTAATTAAATCTTTATTGTTGAAAGTATGACATATGTCCTCTTTCTCCCCACATTGACCTTTCTAACCCATCCCTGCCCCCCACCCCAGGCCTTCACCACTGTTGTCTGTGTCCATGGGTTACACACATACGCATACAAGTTATTTGGTTGATCACTTCCCACAAACCCACCCTCCCCCGCCTTCCCTCTGAGATTCTGCAGTCTGTCCTATGCTTCTATGCCTCTGGATCTGTTTTGTTCATCAGTTTATTTTGTTCATTAGATTCCACATATGAGAGAAATCATGTGATACTTGTCTTTCTTTGGCTGACTGACTTCACTTAGCATGATACTCTCCAGGTCCCTCTGTGCTGTCTCAAAGAGTAAGAGATCCTTCTTTCTTACTGCTGCATAGAATTCCGTGGTGTGAATGTACTACAGCTTTTTATCCACTCATCTACTGATGAGCACTTGGGCTGTTTTCTAGCTCTTAGCTATTGTAAATTAAGCATTGGAGTACATACATTCTTTCTGATTGGTGTTTTGGGTTCTTAAGGTTTCTAGAAGTGGGATCACTGGATCAAATGGTAGTTCCATATTTCGTTATTTAAGGAACTGAGTTGTTGAGTTCTTCACAAGGATTTCTACCTGACTTTCTTTTCTTTTCTTTTTTTATATATTTTATTGATTTTTTACAGAGAGGAAGAGAGAGGGATAGAGAGCTAGAAACATCGATGAGAGAGAATCACTGATCAGCTGCCTCCTGCACATCCCCCACTGGGGAGCAGGAGGCACATGCCCTTGACCGGAATCGAACCTGGCACCCTTCAGTCCACAGGCCGACGCTCTGTCCATTGAGCCAAACCGGTTTCGGCTCTACCTGACTTTCATGAACTACTTTGAAATTTACAAATTGATACTCGCTTTAAGACAGTTTATTATTTACTTTGTAAATTTAAAATGTCGCGTGTGTGTGTGTGTGTGTGTGTGTGTGTGTGTGTGAGTGTGAGTTGTAGCCCTGGTCCTTAAGGAGGGTGACCACTACAGTATGTATTCTGTGATAAATGACCGGATTGTTCATATGGATAGCCAGCAGCTATTTGTAACAACAGTGTGAATGGTTTTAAGAGGGGAGGTGTAAAGTGTTATAGTCATTTCAGAGTGCTCAGTTTCTCTGACAAGTGACAATTAGAGGGATTTTCTTAATGATTCCTACTATTGAGTTATTGTATTCATATCTAACTTAAAAAAAAGTACTTTGGATATTTTTTATTGATTTCAGAGAGGAAGAGAGAGAGAGAAACATTAATGATGAGAGAGGATCATTAATTGGCTGCCTCCTACACATCCCCTACTGGGGATTGAGCCTACAACCCAGGAATGTGCCCTGACCAGGAATCAGACCGTGACCTCCTGGTTCATATGTCAATGCTCAAAACCACTGAGCCACGCCAGCTGGGCTGGAGTTTTTTAGGTTTGCAATTTAAACTACTTTCAATCTGAAACCAGTCTAAAATGTTTGAATATTGTTTTCTGTTGTTTTTAATCCTCACCTAAGGGGCGTGGGGGGTGGGGGAGGAGAAAGAGAGAAGGGGGGGGGGGGGAGAGGGGAGAGAGAGAGAGAGAGATTGTTTTCCACACACACCCTGGGATTAGACCCGCACCCAGGTACGTGCCCTGACCAGAAATCAAACCAGAACCTTCCAGTGCACAGGGCGATATTCAGCCAGCTGAGCCACCCGGCCAGGGAATATTGTTTTGATAACTTGTAATCTTGTATGATTTCTTACATAATCTTACCCCAAACCTCATGATGTCATTGTCTAAGTTCATTCTCAAACTCGTCTATCAAATAGCACTTTCTTACTACAGTATTTTTTTTTTTTTTTTTTTTTTTTTTTTACTGAGAGGAAGGGAGAGAGATAGAGAGCTAGAAACGTTGATGAGAGAGAAACATCGACCAGCTGCCTCTTGCACACCCCCTACTGGGGATGTGCCCACAACCAAGGTACATGCCCTTGACCGGAATCGAACCCGGGACCTTTTAGTCCGCAGGCTGACGCTCTACCACTGAGCCAAACGGGTTTCGGCATTACTACAGTAATTTCTTAACCCATTTTCTCCACCATGCCACAAGTAATGGATAGATTGCTTTAATGAAACTCCTTAAAACTGATGGGAATTCATAAGTTTTGTAATCAGCATCATACGCAATGTCCTTGCAATGGTTGCTTGTTTTGGAATGCACCCGTCATGTGTGAGGAAATCTGGGGTAGAATATAGCAGGTAAGTTTGGGGATGATTGCCTAGTTTGTGGTTTCTCTCTATTTGGGGAGTGTCTCTCATTGCTGTGCCCATGCTCTGGCTGTAACCCATTGAATCACCGAGTCTCACAGCATCTAGTATTGCTGTAGCCAACTAGATGATCTCTCCAGACGCTGAGATTTAGCAGGGTTAGCTAGCTCATTTATATGTGAAAGATCCCGGAGTTCCCTTTTCCAAGCTCCCTAAGCTTCCTGCCCTTCCTAGTCTTAGTCATCTATCCCACTTTGATTCTGAAAAGATTGTTCTTTTTGCTGGAGATGGTTCTGTTGTTTGCGACTAAAATAGAGTCACAACATAAACATGGTGTTAGATATGTCAGGGGCATGTCATGGAAAGCGCTCCAGGAGCTGGTTATAATTTTACATTGCCTCTTGCTTCAGTCGCCTCTGCTGGTATCTTTCCACATCAGTAATCTCGTTAACTTCTTACTCAGTCATCTCAAGCTACTGCAAAACCTGTTGTGAAACACCTTTTAGAGGTCACTCTCAGCTCATTTCCTATTGGCTTTCAAAATAATTGTGCACACCTCCATAATAGTGGTATGATCGATTTGGCTGGCTCCTCATTAGACAGCAGTCTGAGTGGCTGTTAAAGTATAGGTATTGTGCCATTTACCTTGTCGCTGGATTCTCTTGTCACTTTATTTTATAGCATGATTGTGGGCATATACATTTTAAAGACTCTTTGTTCCTTGGAAATTGACCTGTGGTGAGTTCATGTAATTCAGTCATATATTCTAAAGAGAAATATTTAGTAAATAGACTTAGTAAATTTTTAACCCAGAAATCCTTTCACTTTTAAAACCAGATGTTATCACTGTTATTGAAAGATGCTAGAAGGGGAAAATATTCCCCAGATCCAAAAACACTTCGTTATTAGTGTCTTCATATGTTTAATTTTGTGTATTTTTCTATGCATTTTAGAACATAGCTATAAAATACATATACTAAATTCATATATGTTTTCAAGTTACTTCCATATAACATTGTGTCAGTATAATTAGATTAGTCATGTTTTCCCTAAAACTTAAACTTTTCTACCTGGGTTACTAGATATATGATTAAGACTACTCCAATCCTGCTTTCTTATCATATTAAGTACTGTTGTGAAGAGTAAATGAACTAATAGGAGAGACTAACATGGTATCTAGCTTAAGTATTGTACTTAGTAAATGTTCCTTATATCTCTCCTTGGTTGTTTATGTTAACTTGGGGGAACATGCCCTTTTTTTGACCCTTTAAAGTTTTATACTTATTTTTCTTTTCTTTTTTTTCTTTTTAAAAAAAATATATTTTATTGATTTTTTACGGAGAGGAAGGGAGAGAGATAGAGAGCTAGAAACGTCGATGAGAGAGTAACATCGACCAGCTGCCTCCTGCACACCCACCACCGGGGATGTGCCCGCAACCAAGACACATGCCCTTGACCGGAATCGAACCCGGGAACCTTCAGTCCGCAGACCGATGCTTTACCACTGAGCCAAACCGGTTTCGGTATACTTATTTTTCTTAAAATAATTTTAACCTTGCCCTAACCGGATTGGCTCAGTGGATACAGCGTCAGCCTGCGGACTCAAGGATCCCAGGTTCGATTCCGGTCAAGGGCATGTACCTTGGTTGCGGGCACATCCCCGGTAGTGGGTGTGCAGGAGGCAGCTGATGGATGTTTCTCTCTCATTGATGTTTCTAACTCTATATCCCTCTCCCTTCCTCTCTGTAAAAAATCAATAAAATATATATATTTTTAAATGATAATTTTAACCTTGTAAAACCCCCTTTTAAAAGAAGTTGGGTGCATGTTTGCTTTTATTTCTTTGAAAACTATGTTTAAGGAGCTAGAAATACGTGAGAAAGTTAGACTTTCTTTCTTAGCTCTTTAAATTATAAGTCTATGGAGTAATCAGGGGATATGCTTTTATAAATGTGTTGGAGAAAGCTGGTTATCTCTTTCCCATTTTGAGTCCAAGCCATATTAGCCATTCTACAGATAGATGGCATCCTTTAAGGTAGGATGTTATTGTGTAGGTATAACTCGAGAATTCTACATTTAAGTGTGCATATTCCTGCAATTTTAAAAATTATTGAAAATTTTTAACATTCCACTACCAAACATTTTTTGCACTTTCCTCATTTTTTTCTCCCTTTACTTTTCAGAATGAACCTAGTGATAGAGAAGATGGCCTCAACAAAAGACATCATGGGACAGACTCTGAGAATGAAGACCCTTCAAACCTCAATGCTAGTGATTCGGAAAGCGAGGAGCTTCAGAGGCAGAAGGACAGCGACTCGGAATCTGAGGGGCATGCAGAGCCTCCTGCAAGCGATTCTGAAAATGAGTGTGTCACTCACCATGGGAGCGACTCTGAGAGTGAGGAGACCAAGAAAGCACCTGCTAGTGACTCTGAAAACGAGGAGCTTCTTAATGGGCATGCAAGTGACTCAGAAAACGAAGATGGTAGGAAGCCTCCTGCCAGCGATTCGGAGGTTGAGGAGCTCCCCAAGAGTCCGGCCAGTGACTCTGAGACAGAGGAGACACTAAAGCCTGCCATCAGCGACTCTGAGAGCGAGGAGCCGCCCACGCACCCAGCCAGTGACTCTGAAAGCGAGGAGCTTCCCAAGCCTCAAGTCAGTGATTCGGAAAGCGAGGAGCTTCCCAAGCCTCAGATCAGTGACTCAGAGAGCGAGGAACCTCAGAGGACTCAGGCCAGTGACTCTGAAAATGAGGAGCTCCCCAAGCCCCGTGTCAGTGACTCAGAAAGTGAGGGTCCCCCAAGGCATCAAGCCAGTGACTCTGAAAATGAGGGGCATCCCAAACGCCAAATTAGTGACTCTGAGAGTGAGGACCCGCCACGGACCCAGGCCAGTGACTCTGAAAACGAACAGCTTCCCAAACCCCGCGTCAGTGACTCTGAGAGCGAGGAGCCGCCGAAGGGGCCTGCCAGTGATTCCGACGTGGAGGAGGCCTCCCAGCACAAGCAGAAGCCAGAGTCAGATGAGGACAGCGATGGGGAGCATAAGGGGGAGGATACAGAAGTGCAGAATAGCGCCTTCCATTTAGATGGCCACGGAGACAGGAAAAGGCTTCACAGTTCTGGCAGCGAGGATGAAGGGCCCAAAAGGCCAAAAATTGACAGTGATGAAGATGAGGAAAAAGGGGGGGAAGAGGAGAAAGCAGCAAAGCGAAAAGCTGCTGTACTCTCTGACAGTGAAGAAGAGAAAGCATGTAAGGAATTATTTGGGGCTGTTTAGCCATGGTTTTACTTACCATCTAAGCTGGTAACTAAAGCATTCTGTCTTTTTCTGGAATGTTAGATCTGTACTTTCTTCCGAGGTCTAATAGCATTTCTTGAGTTCTGACTGCCTCAAAATAATACGCTAGACTGCTTTCATTTCAATGGGAATATGGAAGATGTAGTGTTTTTTACGGAAGGTAAAATTTCCAAGAACTATGTTTATGTGGAAAGCCAAGTGTTGACCAGAGTTAGCTGTGAGACCAGCCAGCTAGTGCCCTGGAAGCCACCCAGACAGGGACAGGCTCTCGCATGTGCGTGCCTCTACTTAGAGATGCCATGCCTACAGAGTGCTGTAGTCTTTGCTACTTGACTACCTTTTTATGAAACTTACCTTTTTGGAGAACATATTCCCTTCTAAACTGGCAGTTGTTCCAGGAGGAGGAAAGAGTGCCGCACGTGCTAGTTTCTAAGGGAGAGGAGAAAGTCCAGGACTGATCAGGGCGATGGGCTCCACAAAAGGATGTCCAGCCTTTTACTCTGCTAACACTAAGCCGCGTAGAAGGCGTTCTGGTTC